TGCAGTTCCTACTATCTCATGTCATAATAGAACCAAGGTGTAGGGGTGGGTAAAAAAAAAACAATAAATCTCAATCAGGTTCTAAAGTCATTGAACTCAATGTTGAGCCCTACAGACTGCAGGGTCCCCAAGCAAAAGATGAGATACTGTTTGTCAAGTTTCGCTGAGGCTCACTGGAGCACTGCAGCAGACCTGACACAGAAATGTTAATGTGGGAGCGTGTTGGTGTGTTGAAATGCAGGTACCTGGAAGCCCGGGGTCATTTTTTAATGGATAGAACTTAGGTGTTCTGCAAGGTGGTCACCCAGTCTATGTTTTGTCTCTCTAATATAGAGGAGACCTCATTCTGAGCAGCAAATGCAGCTGTGATGTATCTAACAGTGATGTCCTGGTGCTGAGATGTCTAACTTCCAATTGCCATAACCATTTTCCCTTGTGACAGGTATGATTCCACTCAGAAGAGAGCTTTTCCTCTGATCCCCATTGATTCCAATTTTACTAGGGTTCTTTGAGGCAGCACTTGGTCAAGTGCACCCTTATCACTTCCACCTAACCTGTGAAATTCAGCTCTTTTGTCCGTGTTTGAACTAAGACTATAATGAGGTCAAGAGCCAAATGGCCCTGGGAGTCAGTGAGCAGGTTATTGCTTAGATAGCACTGCTTGTTAGCACTGTTGATGACCCCTTCCATCACATTAAACACTGATTAAGAGCAGACTGATGAAGCAGTAATTGACTGGGTTGGATTTGTCCTGCTTTTTGTATACGGTCCTTACCTGAATAATTTTGCGCATTGCTGGTTGTTGTTATTGGATTGTTGTGTTGGAACAGCTTGACTTGAGGTGTAGCAGTTCTGGAGCCCAAGTCTTCAGAACTTTGGAATCTCTTGCACTCTTCACCCCTGGTTTGATGTACTGCTGGAGTGTTAGATATGCCATGCCATGAGGTTACAGATTATTTTGGAGTATAGTTCTGCTACTGATGGCCCACAGTTCCTCATGGATGCCCAGTCTTGCGTTGCTAGATCTGTTAGAAGTTGTGTGACTATAAAACTATTGTTGATTGTTGTAAAACCTCATTTGTCATTAACATCCTTTAAGAAAATAAAACTGCTGTCCTTACCTAGTCTGGCCTACTTGTAACTCCAGACCCACAGTGATGTGTTTAACTCTTAACTACTGCCACTCAAATCAAGGGCAGTTAGTTTGGGCAACACATACTGGACAGTGACATCTACATCCCAGGAAAGCATAAAGATCCTTATGATCTCCACTAGTCTTACAGTTCCACAAGATCTCTGCATTTCACTAATTCTGGCATCTTAAGTAGCTCCAATTTTAATTATCTACCATTGGCAGCTGTGTCTTCATAGCCAAAGCCCTAAATTTTGGAATTTCTTTTGTAAATCTTTCCAATATTTTACCCCTCATTTCTGTTTTAAGATGCACCTTAAAACCTGCCTCTTTGATCAAGTTTTTGTTCAAGCACGCTAATGTCATCTCAAGTGGATTGGGATCAAATTTTATTCAATAAAAATTCTAAAGTGTCTTCAAACATTTTATTAGATTAAAGGTGCTATGTAAATGCAATTTTCTGTACCATTTCAATTCCAAATTCAAAATTTACACTGTAACAATGTAAAATAGAGAAACAATAAGCAGAGGATCAGAGGAATCTCTCTCCATTAGAATGGAAGACAATTTGTGGTATAAAGCTTGGGGTACCACTTTGCAAGTGTGGCATGATATTATAATAACTTGTCTGTTTTTCTACTCGTCTGTTATCTACGTGACCTGCTTGAAAACTCAAAACAAAGAATAGTCTGGAGTTTTAAAAGAAATGCTAGAGCTGAAAAGAATGTTCACAAAGTTTGTTTGTTCATTTTCTAGGCCATTGTCTTTGTTGTTGGAGGTGGAAATTATATTGAATATCAGAACATTGTTGACTACACAAAGGTAAGATGACAGTTAATATTGAAACATGTTCAATGTATTCACAAGACAAGTCACCAGCAGAGATTCAGTTTACAGCAAGTAGCTGTGAACTGGAAAGCAGAAAACATAGGTATTTTCCAGAAATATAATAAAACAAACCTAGGTGTTTGCATTGATTTAACTTGCATTGATCACTTGTAAAGTAATCATTTGACACTAAGTTGAGTAGCCAAATTAAAATAGCCTGGTCAATGGTAGCTTCTGTTATTTCAGAAGGTCCAACCTCTGCCTGACCAACTTCCTTGACTGTTTTGAGGAACTGGCAACCCTATAGTATAACTGCACATGAAAATGAGCATCACACAAACCGAGAGGTCTATTTCCATTATGTGCATCCTATGTAATTCTATCTAAACTACATAAACTCCAAGAAATGTTGTGAATAAAATGCTTAACAAACCACAACTATTGGAATTCCCAGTAAAGCCTTGAAACTTTGAAAGAAATTGTTCAAAAGGCATATATGATAGCGTAGGGATTATGGAGCAATACAAGTTGTGGCTGTGTATTGAAAGAAGTGCCATCACTTTTGATGAAGGTGCCCCTTCTGCTCCTGATCTATATAACTCGCTTGGATTCAGAGCACCGTGCACAGTAGTTAGATTTTCATATGATATTAAAAGAAGACATTGGAGTCTAATAAAGCAGTTTAGATATTTTTTCCTTCATTCACGGGATGTGGACTTCCCTGGCTGCCACAACATTTATTTCCCATCCCTAATTTACCCTGAGATGGTGATGGTGAGCGTGAGCAGCCTTATTGAACAGCTTTACACCGTGTAATGTAGGCACACTCACAGTGCCGCTGGGAAAGCAGTCAATGATATTGCTGAGCGATATTGCTGAGCAACATTTGAAGGAATCGTGATGTATAGTTCTAAGTCAGGGTGTTGTGTCACTGCTAAGGGAAATTGCTGGAGCTGGTACATCAGAGGGGAACTTCAGAGAATCACGGTGTTATGGTGTAGAAGGAGGCCATCCAGCCTATTTTGTCTGCACTGGATCTTCTGCCTTCTTGATTGCACATTATTTCTATCCAAATAATCGTTCAGTATCATCTTGAATGCCTCAGTTGAACTTGCCTCCACTACTCTTCTAGGCAGTGCATTCTAGACCCTAACTGCTCACTGAATGAAAAAGATTTTTCTCTTGTCACATTTGCGCCTTTGGCAGATCATTTTAAATTTATAGGGGGCTTGTAAGTGCAGGTGTCTCAGAGGTGAGCTTGCAGGTTCTGATGATTCCATGCATCTGCTGCTTGTGTTCTTCTAGGTATTGAGGTCATAGGTTTAGAAGGTCGTATGTGAGGAACCTTGATGAGTTGCTGGAATGCATCTTGTAGAAGGTGCATTCAAATTCTTGAGTGTTGCTGGAATTGAACTCATCCAAGCAAGTGGAGAATATTCCGTCACTCTTCTGACTGGTAGATGCAGTACAGGCTTTGAGGAGACAGAGGATGAATTTCTCTCCACAGAATTCCTAGCCTTGACTTGTTCTTGCAACCACGATATTGACCTGACTGGTTCAGTTCTGTTTCTGATTGATGGTAACCCCAAGATGTTGGTAATGTTGGCAACTGTGGTAACGTCATTGAATGTAAAGTGGTGATGGTTTCATTCTCTCTCGTTTGAGATGGTCATTGTCTGGCATTTATGTGGTGTGAAAGTTACTTTTGATTTAGCAGCCCAAGCCTGCATGTCATCCAGGTCTTGCTGCTTTTGAACTACATTGCCTCAGTAACTAAGGAGTAACAAATGGTGCTGGTCATTGCTGAAGCAACTGAAGATACATAGGACTAAGGTACAACTCTGAGGAACTCCTGCAGTGAGGCCTTACGGCTAAGTTGATAGACCTCAAACAATCACAACCATCTTCCTTCACGCAAGTATGACTCCAGCCAGTGGAAAGTTTTCCCCTGATGCCCATTAATGCTAATTTTCCTCAGGTTGCTTCTGCCACACTCTTGTCAAATGCTGCCTGGTGTCAAAGGCGATCACCCTCACTTCAACACTTGGCTCAACTCTTCTAGCCATGTTTGGACCAAGATTGTAATGATAGGTTTGGCAGAATCCTAACTGAGCCTCAGTGAGCTGGTTATTTTTGAGTGAATGATGAACTGTTGACAACTTCCCTTACTTTTCTGATGTTTGAAAATAAACTGATCTTTGACAATCAGTGGCTTTTTCGTGGACAGGGCAAACCTGTGCCAATTTCTACATTGAGGTAGGTGCCAGTATTTTAACTACTGGAACAACTTAGCTGGAGTGCGGCAAGTTCTGAAGCATGACTCCAGTACTATTGCTGGAATGTTGTGAGGGTTCGTAATCTTTACAGCATGCAGTATCTTTAGCAGTTTATAGAAGATCCTCGACAATATTTGCACATAAGCAAAAAAGTGGCACCTCATCCTTTTCCAGGTCACTCAGCCCCGATTCACTCACCGAGCCCCACGCTCAGCCCCGATTCACTCACCGAGCCCCACATTCAGCTCCTCAGACTATTTTCTGGTTGTCTCTGCAATTGGATTTTCCAATGTATTGAGGGTGCAGTTGCTCGCCATCCTCCATTTTGGGTGCTTTTGGACAGGATACAGGGCTGCTTAAAGGTGATAATAGAGAAATGAGCCATTCTTACAGCAGAGCAAGGATGTGAAGAGCAAAATAGTACTTAGCCACCCCATCCCACCCAACATGTTCATAATGCAACAATTTACAGTATAAATTTCTGGAACTGTGTTATTTATAATTAATGTTATGGGCACTTACAGTTTTGTACTTCATTATATCCCAGATAAGATTTTTCCAAGCTAAAATATATCCACAATGGAGGGAAGTAAGAAGATGCAATCATAATGTCACTGAAATAGTAATGCAGGGGCCCAGGCTAATGCTGTGGGGCTATGGTTTAAATGTCACTACAGCAATTGGTGCAATTCAATGAGTAAATTTGTAATTAAAAACTAGTCTAAAAACATCTATTAAAACATTACCAGTTGTCAGTAGAAAATATCTGGTTTACTAATGCCCTTCAATGAAGAAAATGTGCCATCCCTCCCTGATCTGGTCTACAGTAACTCTAGACCCACAGCAGTACAATGGACTCTTGATCACCGTCTGAAGTGGCCTTAGCAAGCCATTCAGTTTAAGGCCTATTAGGGATAGACAACAAACACTGGCCTTGCTGGTAACATCGACATCCCATGAAAGAAAATATTAGGAAAAGGATGAGCAGGAAAGTGGCAAATCAAATTCAGTCAGGAGAAGTATGAAGTAATACATTTAGGAAGGGTAGAAAAGGCAATGGAATTCTCTGTATAAATGATGGCAAGCTTGGAAGTCTAGAACAGAAAGACATCAGAATGAATGTCCACAGATTTCTGAAAATAGCAGGACAAAGGGATAAGATGCTAAGATATATAGCAAACAATTCTTTGCCTCACTTAATTAATAAGATAGGAGCAGCAAAGTGAAGCACAAGTTAGGCCACAGATAAAGCACTACCTAATATTCTGGCCACCTTGTTACAGGAAGGATGTGATCACGCCAAAGACAGAACAGAGGAGATTAACAAGGACTGGAAAATTTTAGCTAAGTAGCAAGATTGGTAGGCCGAGTTGTTATCTTTTGAGCAGCAGAGGCTAGGGGGAATATAATTGAGGTTTACAGAAACCCCAGGGACCTAGACAGAGTGGAAAACAATGACCCATTTCCCTTGGTATAGTGGCCAGTAATCAGGAAGTGTACTTTGCAGACATATTATAGGGGAGTGGAGAAATACTTTTCCTCCGAGGTTGGCAGTCTGAATTTTTACCTGTAACAGTGGCAGAGGCAGACCTCCTCATTGGCATAACCAGGTCCTTTTCTCAATGCAAACCTGCATGGCTGTGAACCAGGAGCCGGAAAGTGAGATCAGGCTGGATAGTTTATTTTATTTTGTCACCGTTGGGAAGTAGGTCCAGGTTGAATTCCATGCTAATAAAATTATGAAGTGAACTGGGCTAGATTTAAGTATCAAGAAAGACAGAGGGGAAAGATAATCCTCATGTTTAAAACTTGAAGCCTTAGGCAAAGCAGATAACAGGCACTCACAGATCACATTTTGAAGTACCTTTGCGCAAGTTACACCAAATTAAACACATACAAGTAAAGTTGAATATTTTTAATATTCTTCTTCCCGTTGTGATAATAGATACATCAATTAAAGTTACATAAATTAATAACATTTAAAAACAAACTGCTTAAATATCTGCTTAAGTATCTGGTTTTAAGACTATACAAACCAGTACAGATATAAACAATCATACAAAACAATGGTTCCTACATTGGGGACATACTGATTCGGTATGGTCATTAACAGTCAGAACAGAATTTCCTTATAGCTATTCACAGCAAGCATGATTTTGGATTTTCAGTAGACATTTAATAAGTTGCCACACATGAGATCATTGCACAGAATTCTGTTTTATGTGATTGGACATAATGGTACCAGGGATTACTGCATGGATCTCAGCTATTTAAAACATGTCTCAATGATTTGGATGAGGGACTCAAATGTACAGTATGCAGGTTTGTTAGTGATATGAAGTTAGGTGGGAAAGTAAGCTGGTAGGAGGTTGCAAAGAAGCAGCAAAGTGATCTGGATAGGTTTAGTAAGTGGGCAAGAATATGACAGATGGAGTATAACATGGAGAAAAGTGAAGTTATCTATTCATGTGGGAAGAACAGAGAGGCAGATTTTATTTAAATGGTGGGAGACTGGAAAATGCTGGATATCAGAGGATTCTTGTACACGAATCACAGAAATTTGGCATGTCGTATACAACAATTGGGAAAGCAAAAGATGGGTTAAGATTGTAGTACAAGAATAAAGAAGTCACATTGCAATTTTATAGGACTTTGCTGTGACCACACTGGAATATTGGCCCAGATTTTCTAGTCTGAACTTTGTCAGAGACATACCATGAAAAAAGCATTTTGGAACATCTCAGAAGTCCAGATACGCTGACTATGCGGTAATTGGGAATTTTGAAATATCAATGGGCACTGGCCAGGCATCAGGAACCCTCTGAAAAAATCCCCAATTTTAAGCTAGAATTTGAAACTTTGGAGCTATTCTAATTCAGTTATGTTTATATTTAGCCATGAAATGTCAGAGGGATTAAAATGTGCCGTAGCTCCTGAATAACTATAAAACTGGAGACCCAATCACTCATACTGAACTTCCAACCCCCACAAAAATACTTGACCCAATCCATCATGACTTCATCTATAATCCTTAATGCTGCATGAACAGAACTAAGTTGCTGCCATTCCCCTCCAGTCTTTCATCCACCAAAGCACAATATGTGTGACCTCTGTAGTGGTTTAATGCCCAGCATTGAAAATTAAATCTATCTTTAATTCCCAGAATTACCACAATCCAGATTCAGCACATGCATCACTGTCTGCAGAATAGTATGGTTCTCTATGAGATGCATTATCTTAAGCTGTGTTATTTAGTACATGAAGCATCATAAACAGAGTATGAATTCATTTGCAGGGGGTTATTTAAAACATTAATGTTGATGTGTAAAATATTCACGTATAAATCTTTTCTAAAAGCAATTTTTTAAAAAAGAATAACTGGCAAAGTGGAATTTTAATTTTATCTTGTACCGAAGCAGCAGTATTAACCTGGATGCTTTATGAGAAACTGGATGCCTGTCTCATATCAAATTTATTTCTGCACATTAAAAATAAATGTATTTCTTTGATTGTTTATTCAGAGTAAACCTGGTAAACACGTGTTATATGGTTGCAGCGAGCTGTTCAATGCTAGCCAATTCCTGAAGCAGGTACTGTATTTTATTTATTTACTAAGTTGTGGACAATTAGTCAATAGTATATATAATCGCTAGATTCACGTAAACATAACTGGTTCTGAGGTCAAACTAAAAAAAAGTCAATGATTTTTGCTATCAATATTTAATTGTGTGTGCGTGTATATATATAAAAAATGTAAGTCAGATAATTATTTCTTATTAATAAGTCCAGTTAAGCTTCTGCTCAGATGGAATGGTGTTGGAAATTAGATGAAAATGGTGAAGTTTTCACATGTTGGAGATGATCATCGCTTGGAACATGCCATAAATGTTACCTAAAGTTAAACATGAGTTCAGTGCAGGTCTCCATGTTGCAGACAAATTGTGAGTTCTAAAACAAATCTCCCCCTATTCTCATCATCTGTCCCTAAGCAGATAGTTATTTAATTTTTCCTCTTTTGAAACAATGCCCATTCCTAAAATTTGGTAATTCTGACCTTGTAAGGATTGTAACAGCCCTATGTAAAATTAAACCACCAAGAGAGTTTATTTCCAACACAGTTCAATGCAGTCTGAAGTCACACAACGCCAGCTTATAGTCCAACAGGAACAAAAACAAAGTTGCTGGAGAAGCTCAGCAGGTCTGGCAGCATCTGTGAAAGAGAAAATAGAGTTAACGTTTCGAGTCCAGTGACTCTTCTTCAGATCTGAGGAAGGGCCACTGGACCTGAAATGTTAACTCTGTTTTCTCCTTCACAGATGCTGCCAGACCTGCTGATCTTCTCCAGTAACTTTGTTTTTGTTCCTGATTTACAGCATCTGCAGTTCTTTTGGTTTTTATAATCAAACAGGTTTATTGAAATCACAAGCTTTTGGAGTGCTGCTCCTTCGTCAGGTGACACAATTCAGGTGACACGCTCTGGAAGCTTGTGATTTCAAATAAACCTGTTGGGCAATAACCTGGTATCGTGTGATTTCTGACTTTGTCCACCCCAATCCAACACCGGCACCTCTACATCACTGTTAGATACGTCAGGGGAATATTTTGCAAAAGAAAAAGCATGATGACAAACATTCAAGGGGAGAGATGAAATCAAAAAGGATAAAGAGGTTATTTATTTATATTTAAGTATAAGAGAATTAAGGACAAATCAATTCATCAATATCCTTGATTTCAAAATGGAATTCAAAAGCCCAAAGCCCAAAATCCCTTTGTTGTGATGGTTGGTTGGCTAGTTCAGGGGCCATTGACCATTTCTTCCCTTTGATATTGTCAAATGATGTTGATTCAGGCAGGTGCTGACCTCTTTAACTGCCATTTCACAATTTTATGGTTAAGGGGCAGTTGTGTTCTATATGGGAGTGTTCAGAGCACTTTGGGTGGCTCGAGGGAGGAGGAAGGTGCAGAGGAAAAGCAGTTACCATCAAGACAAAGACTTGTATTGCAGATAAACAACCATCTGGGGGTTAAATGGAAAGTCATTAACATAATGTACAGGATAGAAATAACTTGCAATTCTATTGTGTAGTTCTCCCATCAGGGACTGTTGATTGGCTGATTCTTGACTTTTGAGAAGCTTCTGTAACGTTACTGCTAAATCCTGTTATCGATCACAGCAGCCATCTTTTGGCTGTCTAATGTATTTTTAAAAAGGGCACTAAATTATATAAAAATATATGTAAATGTGAAATAATGTTTTGTTTTTATTTCTTTAATCCTTTTTTGGTGGCTGGCATGGGCTGTTCCATTATTAGAGGATCTCAGTAGAACTTACCAGTGCTGCAGCATCAGTATACTGCCCTACCCTTAATCTTTTGATGCAATTAAGCTTCTTAGAGATGGTTATGGTTGCTGACCTATGGAATCTGGGCAAGGAAGAACTAAAATTATTGGTCTTTCACCCAGAGGGAAAAGCCAGGAATACTTGGACATGAATGAACTTGTACTAGGCCTGTCCAGTGGATGAGTCAGACCAGTATGCCTCATTCGCAAGTTTTACTGGTTTACCCTTCTGGGCAGCAAGTGCAGCCTTCTTCCAGCAATAAAAGTGAGCCCCATCCGCAGAGGATTTTCTCACTGATCTCCCTGAAAGTACGGTGGGATCTGGGTGTCCTCCTCCATGAATAACAAAAAGTGAGTAAACCAATTCAGCAATAATTAAGAAGGCAAATGGAATATTGTACAAAAAACAGAAGTTGCTGGAAAAGCTCAGCAGGTCTGGCAGCATCTGTGAAGAAAAA